GCGTGAGGAGAAAGTAGGGCGGGTGGGGGGGTGGATGGATGGATGGAGAAACTGCCGCCCCTGCCCGGTAGGTCTGATGCCAGACAGTGGTAGAGAGGAAGGTAATGGAGGGGGGGGGGAAATGGACCTGTCCTGTGCCTGAAGAGGGGGCACAATTAATTTGGAAATAAACGTCTGGGCAGGGCAGGCAGGTCTTTTCTTTTTCCCAACCTCCAATCCCCCCCCCCCAATGACTTTAACTTTAATTGTAATATATGATTGTTTTTATCTTGTTTTATATGTTTTATATACCTTGCCCATGGTGCCCTTAATTGTGAGCCTCCCTGAGCCCGTTCGTGGGGAGGGCGGGATAGAAATATAATAAAATAAATAAAATAAAATGGGCACTCCAAGATCAAACGGAACTTAGCACAAGAGGAGTGGTGCTCTGAGAGGGGTTCAGCCCATTTTATTCCAACCCTTTAATAAATGGTTAAAGGACGGGGGGGAGTGTGGCTTGGCCCCCTCTGCTAAGGAAAGAACTTGGGGGTGGATTGCATGGGAGGTGGGACCCCTAAAAAAAGTGGAAGTTTGAGGACTGCCACAGGACCATCTCTGTCAAGTAAAGCCTTTTGGGAAATGGCTGCTCCCTCCCTACAGAACGGCCCCCTCCCCTTGAAGTACCGCGTCCAGCCGGCCTGCAAGAGGCTCAAGCTCTCCTCCCAGGCCGCCCACTCGGAGTGCACCAACACCAGCGGCGCTTCGGAGTGCGAGTCGGTCAGCGACAAGGCCAACAGCCCGGCCACCTTGCCGGCCACCACCTCCTCCTCGCTGCCCAGCCCGGCCACCCCTTCGCACGGCTCTCCGAGCTCAAACACCACCACCGTGAGCATCCCCGCCTCCGGGGCAGGACAGAACGGCTCCTCGAACTGCCACCAGATGCAGCCCTTGTCCAGCAGGGGGCGCAAAACAATGGTGAACGGGGGACCAGCGACATCCGCTTTGACTTAAAGAAAACGTTTTCATTCGGGTGGGGTGTTCCCCCCCCCTTGGCCAGATCTTCAGTTTTATAAATAAGTATATTATGTGTAGATAAAGGGCAGCGGGGGTGGGGGTGGGGGGAATTATACATACTTAATTTTCTATTAATTGACCTGATTTAATTTAAGAAAAAAAATTGCAAAAGGATAAAAACAATCCCAGTGGTGTATTTTTAAAGCAATGTGTGTCGTCCCCCCCCTTTTTAATTTTAAAAAAATGAAGACGTGCTCGTGTCGTTGCATGCCGGCGTCTGTGTAAAAGCTGCCGCCTTCCTGGTGAGTCTTTCTTCTCTTTTCTCCACCGGGGCCCTCCGTCGGAGCGCGAGGGGGCCTGGAGGTCAGCGAGAGGAAGGGCCGAGGCACGGACCAGGCCCCCAGCCTGGGCTTGTGGTCCGCCGAACCCCACAGTGAGGTTCTTGTGCCCCCTTTGTCCCCTTAACTTACCTCTCCGGCCTCCCGTTCCATAGCTGGAGCCACGGTGCTGCTGCCCGGTGGGCGGGATGGTTTGGCTCCCTGTGCCGGTGGAGCAGGGGGCCGTGACGCCCTCCTCCCGCCCCTGCCTGGGCCCTGCCTCACTCACCGAGCGAGGCAGCTGGGTCGGCAGGGCGAGGGCCGGGTGGGTGGAGAAGCCAAAGGGGGACGTGTCCTGCGGGGCGCCAGTTGAGGAACTGCAGTCTGTTGGGCCAGAGGGAGCCGTCCCGGAGGGGTCGTCCTTTCGGTCTGCTGACGATGGCCAGAAGCCCAAAGAGTTGGATTCGGTGGCCTTGGAGGTCCCTTCCAGCTCTACGATTCTGTGAGTCTTGGAGCGCCTGGCAGGCTCTGGCTCCCAAAATGAATGCGTAGTCCCACAAAGCTCTGCCGTAATGTCATGCCCATTTCTGTCTTCTGCCAACCTGTCCTTTCTTCTGCCAACCTGTCCTTTGGGACGGTCAGGAGGCTCCTTGGCGTCACGTGCAAGTCAGTGCAGCAAGGGACGGGGCAGCTCTGCTTGGGGGCGTTGCTGTTTCTGAGCCAGAATCTGGCTCCGGAGTCCTTCTCAGTCTCGGCTGCCCCAGGGGAGGGGGTCTGCAGTGTCCTTAGGGGGACGAGGGTTTCTGTGCCCACGAGAGTGCGGGCGTGGGGGGGGGACACAACCGCTGCTGCTATAATGTCACACAACTCCCCTTAGAGTCGCGTGGCCACGGAGGGTGTGGCCCGGCGTGCTGAACACCTGTTGGGACGGCACGGCTTGGAGACCCCCTTCACTCAGGGAAGGGGTTGCCTTCCTTGTCTCTGGACTTACCTTGAAACGGTCTCTGCTGCCAGAGCTCCCCCCTGCTGGCCTGGTCGCTGTAGAGTCAGAGACGGCTTCCTTGGAGACCCCTTGCTGGGGTGTGCAAGTCCCATGACAACAGTTGCCAGCCATAGTAGTGAGGGATGGAACCTCCGTGCTTAGCAACTATACGTCTCCGGTGAACAGGTGCTGGGGATCAAGCAGCGGTGTCGGGCAAAGTGGCTGGCCAGGTGCATCCTCTCCAGAAAAGGAAGGGTGCGTCCTTGACTGGGAAGTGTGATGGCAGCACAGGTGTGATGCTTGTTCAGAAGTGTAGGGGAGGCGGGGGGGGCAAGGCTTCCTGTGAGTGGTGGCAGTTGAAGGTCAGGATCCTTGTAATCTTAGCTGTGGCGACTTCGGCCATCTTAGAAGCTGGAAGTTGCATGTTGAGTTCACCGTGGCCAAGACCCGTGTGCCTCCAGCTCACATTACTGTTCCCCCCCCCCTCTCTCTAAGGCAAAGAATGGTTTCCTTGTTTGCTCTGCTTAATTTGAAAGGCCTCGGCAGGGTGCCTTCAGAAGGGAAACTTGCCAAGGTGTCAGGTGGGGGTGGGGGTGTGATTTTTCAGGAAGCTGGAAGGTGCACGTTGAGTTCACCGTGGCCAAGATCTGTTTGCCTCCAGCTCACATTACTGTCCCTCCACCCCCCCCAAGGCAAAGAATGGTTTCCTTGTTTGCTCTGCTTAATTTGAAAGGCCTCGGCAGGGTGCCTTCGGAAGGGAAACTTGCCAAGGTGTCGGGTGGGGGTGGGGGTGTGATTTTTCACTGGGGAAGAGGAGGGGTATCCTTTCTTCTGCTCACTTGTATTTCAAGACTGCCAGGTGGAAACGCACAACTTCCAGTGGGAAGAGTTTTTTTTTCTACCATCCAGTTGAATACCAGCCCCGTCTCCCTGGGGTGGGGGGGCTCTCTCCAGGGCCTCGGACGGAGGTCTTTTCACATCACCTCTTGCCTGATCCTTTTAAGTGGAGGGATGGGACCTGGGACCTTCTGTGTTCAGAGCAGATCCTCTGCCACTGGGCTGTAGTCTGGCGCCAGATCCGTTTCAGGAGGTGGGTCTGCTGGACCAGGCGTGCTGTGCTGCCTGCAGATACAACAGCCCAGGGTTGAAACTTGAGGCTGCTGGAGCCGGACCCCATTTTCAGGGCTGCCAAGGAAGTGGAGTGGAACCACAGAGCCCAGTTTTGCCAGATCTCAGAAGTTAAGCAGGGTCCATACTTGGGTGGGAGACCACCCCTTTGCAAAGGAAGGCGATGGCCCAAACGCCTCCGCTTCTCACTTGCCTTGAAAGCCCCTTGCTGGGGCCGCCACGTCAGCCACACAACCTGACAGTGTTTTGCATGCACCAGCTCCGCCTGGAACGCACAGCTCATCTAGGGTGGGGCTGGGGTTCACAGCATCCGACACCCCGGGGGGTGGCTGCAGTCAGGGAAGAAGGGGGGCTTTTAAAAAAAACTTCAAAAATCATCTTGCAATGTTGTCCTTTCAAATCTGCGGGCAGTCAGTTTGGTGTCGTGGTCAAGTGCGTGGACTCTAATTTGGGAGAACCGGGTTTGATTCCCCACTCCTCCACTTGCACCTGACTGGATGACCTTGGGCAAGCCGTAGTTCTGATAAGAGCTGTTCTTGAAAAAGAGCCGTTTCTGTCAAGAGCTCTCTCAGCCCCACCTGCCTTACAGGGTGTCTGTTGTGGGGAGGGGAGGGAGAGGAGTTTGTAAGCCGCTCTGAGACACCTTTGGGTAGTGAAGGGCGGGGTATAAATCCAATCTCTTCTTCTTCCTCTTCCTTCGTAGCGGGGCCATAACTTTAAGCGGGGTGGGGGGTGAGGGCCTCAGCCTTCTTGCCTCCCTCCACCTCAGTGTGCCAGAAGGCGGTGGCAGGTTACGGAGGGGGGGGGGGCGCATGCTTACTCCCGTCTCCTTGGAGAGAAGAGGCCCTGAGCAACAGCCTGTATCTTCTCATCACATTCCACACAACGTCTGCAGTGGTGGGCAAATTCTGTTCCCAGAGGTGCTCATTTGCCTCTGGGCCCCTGACCCTTACTTCAGAGTCACAAGTGTTTTCTTACCACAGAGTACCACGTGCCTAAAGCGGGCCGTCAGCGTGGTCGGAAACACGTCCTCGTCCTGGTGCCATATTTATCTTCCTATTGGCCGAGACTGAACTTTGACCTCATGAGCAGTATTATGTCATACTTCTCATTACCTTCGTACGTACCGAGGAAACGGCCAGACCAAGGGCCCTCGAGGCTTTCCCCTCCCTCTTTCCCCCAACTTTTTTTGTAAAAAAGTTTAATATGGTACAAGCCAAATTGCTCTGTATGTTTGCAAAGCTGTATGATGTTTTGATGTGCTGTAATATATTCTGATATTCATATACTGTTATTGGTTAAAACATTTGTATCAATTATACAGTTTGTACATGGTAATAAATGCAACAACTTTTGTCCTTCAGCTCTGTTTGGGTCCTGCTTTACACCCGGAAACGCCAAACCATGGGCCCCGGTGCCTCCCCCCAACCCCATGCACAGGGTGAAACGGGGCTCTGGCCCCAGGTGAAAGGCTTGGCAGAAGCACCTTCGGATGCGGCGGGTGGCCCCTCAGCTGTAGCAGTTTCTGCTGGGGTTATGCTCCAGGTTGGCCGTTGGATGGGGTTGGTGGTTTCGCTGCTCCTGGCATTTTTGCAGACTTCTCGGTGCCGCAACTCCCAGGCAGCTTCCTCAGAGAGGCCGGGCCAGTTTGGTCTCCTGACTGGGCAGGGCTGTGCCTGCTCTCTGCAGAAAACACTGAAAACTGGGCACCGAGATAAAACTCAATCTGGCAACCAGGATAAGTTCTGCAGACACATTTTTTCTTTTTTCTTTTGTCTCATTAAGGCCCCGGTCACACGGGCAGGAAAATGCGGGGGGGGGGGGGAGTGCGGCTGTTTGCCCCGGAGCAAAATAATGCGCGGCTGCGCGATCAGACGTCCCGTAGAGGTTCTGTGGTTAGGGGGGAGGTGCCGATCACAGGACAATCCTGGGGCGCGGCAAAGAAGCGGCCTTCCTAGCAAAAGGCACCGTGGGTTTAACCCCTTCCAGGGCTGCAGAGGAATGCAAACTGGAGCTTCAGCCGGGCCACCGCCCCGCCACGCCCCCTGCACCTCCCCCTCTGCCTCCCGCCACGCCCCCCCGCACCTCCCGCTCTGCCACCCGGTGCAGAGAGTTCCTCTCGAGCAGACTGAGCCAGGAGGGGGGGGGTACGGAAAAGAGGAGGGGGCTGTGTTGTTTGTTTTTATTTGGAAGTGTGCGCATGCGCCGTTGGGAGACTTGGGAAAAAAACACCTTTTAGCGCCGGATGCCACGACCTACCACCGGAAACGCGATCAGACGCCCACCCTTGCCCCGCGGTTTCCGGAAACTAGTACCTCGGAGGTACTAGTTTTTTACCCCGCATCTTCGACGGGAAGCCTCAGGTTCGCCACGGGAGCTCTACGCTTCCCAGATGTGGCGCTATGATCGGACCCAAAAAATCCGCCTATCTTCCGTCTCTGTAGTGTGGCTAATGCTCCGTGTGACCGCAGCCCAATTCTGGTTTTGTTGGCCGTAGAAGGAAGAAAACCTCACCCCAACTGCCGGCCCACTTTCTCATTTGGGTTTCATCCAGTTTGTCGCTTTCAGGCCCCTCCACCCAACCCTGGAGGCTAGAAAGGACGAACGGCAACATGTACAGGAAGCTGGTCTTTTGGGGGCTCTGAAGCACTTTAGGAGCCTAGGCTGGTCTCATCTTGTCAGAGCTCGGAAGCTGGTCAGGGTCCGCCTTGGATGGGAGGACCATCGGAACAGATGGGGGTTGCTCTGCAGAGGAAGGGGATGGCAGACCGCCTCTGCTCCTGTCCTGCCTTGGAAAACTCCGTGGTCCTGCCGTCACCGTGAGTCAGTTGCAGCTTGGCAGCATGAGGTTGTTGTTGTTGTTGTCCTCTGCACTTGGGCGTGAGTCTCCTATTGATGATGACGGTAAACGTAGAGTGTAGATATGGGACAGGAGGGTTTTAATTCCGTCCTGGCGTGCCTCACTTTGCTTGCTCTTACGCGGACCAATCCCCATCTCACTCATTTTGCTGCCCATTAAAACATAAGAACATCAGAGACGCCAATGTTGGATCAGGCCAGTGGCCCATCCAGTCCAACACTCCGTGTCACACAGTGGCCAGAAATACCAGGGGCCCTCAGGAGGTCCAGCAGCGGGGCCAGGACACTAGAAGCCCTCCCACTGTTGACCCCCTCCCAAGCACCAAGAAGACAGAGCATCACTTGCCCCACATAGTGTTCCATCTATACCTTGTGGCTAATAGCCACTGATGGACTTCTGCTCCCTCTAATAAGAACATAAGAGAAGCCAGTGTTGGATCAGGCAAATGACCCATCCAGTCCAACACTCTGTGTCACACAGTGGCCAGAAATACCAGGTGCCATCAGGAGGTCCACCAGTGGGGCCAGGACACTAGGAGCCCTCCCACTGTTGACCCCCCCCAGCACCAAGAAGACAGAGCATCACTTGTCCCAGACTGAGAGTTCCTATAAGAACATAAGAGACACCAATGTTGGATCAGGCCAGTGGCCCATCCAGTCCAACACTCTGTGTCACAC